GCTACTTTCCTGAAATCAAGAAAATCAGGAAAGTGAGATTAAACTGATATTAAACTCAACAGGTTTCCTTATATTGCGTGAATGGGGGAATTCAGTAACCTGGTTATAAAAGCAATAATGCTGAGGCAGTCAGCTGGACTAAATCGGCCTTGGCCTTTTAGCCTTTCCAAAGTTAGTCAGTTTGTTTATCTTATTTCTAACAGCAACTCTACTAATGGGAAACATAGTATGGAAAAACAGTCCAAGTTGTTGTGTTTTTTTTAATTAAAAAACTGAAAAATAGAGAAAAAAACAGATCTCAACACAGAAGAGAGTAAAAAAACGTTTGCCAAGATAGCCAAGAAAGAAAGTTTTAGTAAAAGCTGCATGTGTGGTCTCAACTCCTGTCTTTTGGAGAGGGAGAACATGACCCTATTGCTTAGGAAGGTTTTATTTGTGTGTGTGTGTGTTCACACACTTGTGTGGAGGATTATGACACAGAGCAAAAAGTTCAGCTTTAACTGCTTACTGATGTATGAAACTCGCTCAAAACAGTTTGAGTAAGTTTTCGCTTTGGGACTTTTTGCCAGCATACAGAGAAGTGGGCCTTAATTGCTTTCTGTTTCTTTTCCAGCCTTTCCATTCCAAAGAAAGAGCGCTTACTCTTGAGTAAACTCTTGCTGCAAGCCTAGTTTTTGGCAGTGCCAAATCCTGAGCTGGCACAAAGTATGTTGGGAAAACCTGGAGAGGCAGGCATGGGAAATGATTAATATTCCACTGACATATGTAGGGTAGTTTTTTTTTTTTTTTTAAAGAAGATTAATCACACGAGGAACTAGGAATACCTGTTTTGGTTGAGCCCTTGTGTGATTGTGCAAAACAGTTGTGCATTAAGGCTTGTTGGAATGGAGAATTAAGAAATTCTGCTGGTTTAGGAACGCTTGCCTGCCTAATAACAGAATAAGGTGATTTTTGTTCCCCGTCTACTGTGTCTAAGATCCGGGTGGCTTGCTATGAAAGGGAAAGTTAGGGCTCTTGTGCTCCAATCTGAGTGTGTATGTGCGTTGTTAATGCTGCTTTTCTGTGGAGGAGCTGGTTGTGATGGGAAAACAGCCCTTTTCCAGGGGTGTACGTGAAGAAAATGATTTAAAATCATCAGTCACTGGTAGGCATTTTCAGGACACGGCCAAGTTTTCTCTAGCTGGCAGATTGACTTAACAACCGTGCTACTAACAACAGCTGATCACAATTGTAGCGAGAAAGGTCATAAAGCGGGACAAAACACACTTAACAAATGTCTCGGCTTAGCCACAGAAAGTAGTTGTAAGTTGAGGACTACCTGCCCAGTGTTTCTTCCTGTTTGGAAAAGACGGTTTTCAAAAGCCCACATTAAAAGTGCTGTTCAGGTGTAAATGACACTGTTTTCCACTTTAACCTGGTCTGCTTCTCCCTTCTGACGTGTTTTGGAAACTCTGATGAAACCACCCAGGTGCGCTACAGCCAGCCTGGCTTTCAGGGGCCTCTTGCGTTATCAGAGTTTGATTAAGGGTTGTGTGTTTTCATGCTGTCTTTGGGACTGTTCCCGGCTCAGCTGCTAGCAAGACAAATTCAAGTGTCCCCTTTAGTTAAATAGCCTGGAAATAAACAAACAGAACATTAATCATAGTTTTTTCCTTCTGCTGTTTGAGTGCTGACAAGGCAACAGCTCAGCTGTAATTAGAGCTGGGGTTTAAAGGCTAACCGGCTTGTGGCTGTTTTCTCTAACAAAGTCCGTATCCAGGATCGAGGGCGTATCCAGTCTCTTCCCCAAAACACAGGTAGTCCCTGACTTACAACGTTTCATTTGGAGGTCAGTTTTGGCCGTTAAGTCGAGGGAATAGCATTCTAGCCACGCTAGTTGCAAATGTGGGCTTTGAAAGGCAGCAAACACAATTAGCTAAACGTCGACGGAGATTCTCAGTCATCCAGGCTTGTCCCCAAGATGCCTTTTTCAAGAGGCAACTGGACTTTCTTGTTCTGCAAATGAGCAGCGGTCTGCAAGGAGTATAAATCCTTCCATTCCCCCCCCCCCCACCATCCAGTCAGTCAAAGGAATTCCAGTTGCCTCTTGAAAAAAAAGCTTCTTTGGACCAATCGGATGAAATTGCAAAGCTGGATCCCGACATTTCCTCCCTGGAATGGCTAATTATTTTTCATTTTCAAGTTAGAAACTCAAAGGCAGGGGTCTTCAAACTTGGCCCTTTTATGACTTGTGGACCTAGCTGAGGAATTCTGGGAGTTGAAGTCCACAAGTCATAAAAGGGCCAAGTTTGAAGACCCCTGCTCAAAGGCCTCACGGCTCTGGTCTGTGCACTGCCTGGCGGTCTTGTGCCCCAGACCTTAATTGCTTTCATTTGCATTCCTGCGCACACCCAGCATTTACCCCTTTCCTGTCTACCAAAGACAGACGTTTACAGCTGCTGCTTCCTGTCCCTCAAGCGGAAGGGATCCCTTCCAGGTGCCTGGACATCGCACTTGAACCCCTGTTTGGCCCGATGTATTTGGTTTCCAGGAAAGACAGTGACAAAAGGGCTGGA